TCACTGCAGTTCTTAAATTAGTAACTGGGTTGTTAAGTGAATTTGGCTTCTCTGTTGACATTGCTTGTCAGAAGGTCACAAAAAAGGGATCACGTGACCTGACCCCAGGACACTGTGGCCGTCATAAATATGAGCCAGTTGCCAAGCATTTGAATTTTGATCACGTAGACATGGGGATGCTGCAATGGTCGTAAGTGTGAAAAATGGTCATAAGTCACTTTTTTCAGTGATGTAACTTTGTTTTTTTTTTAATTTTTTTTTATTATTAAAATATAAACACAGATATAAAGACAATACAATACAAAGACAAACAAAAAACCCACCACCTACAAACCCACCTAACATTTTACATTTACGCTTTTGTCATCAACAGAATATATGTCATTGAGCTTATATAGTTTAATAAAGAGTAATTATTAAATGTCTAATTCCAATGTTATAACTTTTCACTACCAATTTACATTTCTTATGGGTTCATCTCCTTGTGAAAGTCTTTACCCTAATTTCTGTCCTCTACATTTTTGCTGATTTTCCTTTCCAGCCATTGATACCATTGGTGCCATACAAGATAGTATTCGCTTTCTTCCTTTTCCTGGAGTTCCAGCGTCAATCTGTCCATTTCAGCACACTCTGTTATCTTTGCAACGATTTTGTCTTTGGATGGGAGTTGGTCTGATTTCCAGTTTTGCGCGAACAGTAGTCTTGCTGCTGTCAAGATATGTATGATGAGATATTTCGTTTCCTTAAGATGTTGTGCCGTTATCATGCCAAATAGAAAAAATTCTGGACTGTTTTCTATTTGAATGTTCGTTATTTCTTCGATAATATTTTTTATATCTTGCCAATAGTGTTGGGCTTTCCTACATTTCCACCAAGTGTGATAATATGTCCCCTTTTTTGATTTACATTTCCAACACAACGCCGAAGTGTTTGGGTGTATTTTGGCAAGTCGGGCTGGTGGTAAGTGCCATCTATAAAACATCTTAATGAGGTTCTCCTTGTAAGATGTGGCTCTTGTCATTTTTATGTTCTGCTTCCATAATTTCTCCCAGTCTGCCAATTGAATATTATGTCCTTGCAAAAGATCTGAACGAACTGGACAGAATTTTATTAGGAGCAGACCAGAAAATGATTACTAAAACATATAACTACCTTTTGAGAGACAAATTAATAGAAGAAACAGTTAAACATAATATGACAATGTGGGCCAGGGACATAGGACATAATATTCAGTGATGTAACTTTGAACGATCACTAAATGAACTGTCATAAGTCGAGGACTATCTGTACTTGATGGACCTTGGTTAGACTTGTATACCTCTTCAAAGAAGAATTCAGAAATTACACAGATTCCTTGCTGACTGGGGAATTCTGGGAGTTGAAGTCCACAGATCTTAAAGTCACCAAAGTTGAGAAAAAAAGGATTATTGCTTTGTGGAATGTCCAGCAGAGGGCAGTATTTAGTTGGCCTGACTTGGTCTCAAAAGAGCTAAGCAGGATTGGCCCCGATTATCACTTGAATGGGAGACCATCAGTTACACTGAGCAGTTGAAAAGAAAAACACAAAAGACAACAAAGACAAATAATTTCCAATTGCATGAAGACTCCCTGAATGCAGAAGTGGAGCTCAACTAGAGTGTGTTGTTATTATTTGTAGTTACTATTATTATGGAATAAATGAAAATTCTATGCTACTTGCAAGTGCCTTGAACAGGCTGACTATTGGGGGGGTGAATCTCTCCCCCCCACAGAGAGGGCTCGCAATCTGGGCGTCCTCCTGGATGCACGGCTGTCTTTAGAAGAGCATATGACGGCCCTGGCGAGGGGGGCTTTTTATCAGGTTTGCCTAATCTGCCAGTTGCGACCCTTTCTGGATCGGGACGCCTTGCGCACGGTCACTCATGCCCTTGTCACCTCCCGGCTGGACTACTGTAATGCTCTCTACATGGGGCTCCCCTTGAAGAGCACTCGGAGGCTCCAACTGGTCCAGAATGCGGCCGCGCGGGTAGTTATGGGCGCGACCCGTTATGCCCATGTAACATCTCTCCTGCTCGAGGTGCACTGGCTCCCAGTGGTCTTCCGGGTGCGATTCAAGGTGTTGGTTACCACCTTTAAAGCACTCCATGGCTTAGGGCCGGGTACCACCGAGACCGACTTCTGCCGCCAGTAGCCTCCCACCAGCCAGTTCGTTCCCACAGAGAGGGGCTCCTCAGGGTGCCATCGGCCAAGTTATGTCAGCTGGCGACACCCAGGGGAGAGCCTTCTCTGTGGGTGCTCCTGCCCTTTAGAACGAACTGCCCCGGAAATACGTAAGATTTCTGATCTCCATGTATTTCGCTGCGCTCTTAAAACCCTAGTGTTCTGCCAGGCTGGGCTATCTCTGTGAATGATTTTAAATTGGGTGTTTTAATTAGCTTTTAATTCTGAGCCAAAATTATCTATTACTTTTAATTGGTTTTTAAATTGATGTATATATTATGTTTTAATTGGCTGTACACCACCCCGAGTCCTTCGGGAGGAGGGCGGTATAGAAATTAAATAAATAAACAGCAGTCTAGCTTACTCTTAGAAATCCCAGATAATTGCATTTAGAGCTCATTACAACTCCAGTTTTTCGATGACTGGAAGAGAGAGGGAGGGGGAGGGAGGGAGGGAGGGAAACAAAGAAGAAGGGAAGGAGGGAGGGAGAGAGAAAGAAAGAAAGAAAGGGGAAGAGAGAGGGAGAGATAGAGAGGGGAGGGAGGGGGAGGGGGAGAGAGAAAGAGAAACAGAGAAGGAGGGAGGGACAGAGACAGAGAAAGAGAGAGGGAGGAGGAGGGGGATAGAAAGTGAGAGGGGGAGGGAGAAAGAGAGAGGGGGAGAGAGAGAACAAGTGAAAGGAGCGAGGGAGAGAGAAAGAGAGAGGGAGGGAGGGACAGAGGGAGAAAGAGCAAAAGAAGAGACAGGGGGGGGGAGGAGAGAGAGAGAGAGAGAGAGAGAGAGAGAGAGAGAGAGAGAGAGAGAGAGGGAATCACCTTTGCTGTCATTTAGTAGTAATCTGGTTATTTACACTCTTGATATGGCAGTCCTAATTACAGGCTACTTATCCTAAACCCTGATAGCAATTCAAGTCTTCAAAACCTCTGAGTGCATTGATTCCTTTCCAAAATTGAAGCTGCTTTCAGACAGAAAGGCTTTCAGGCAACATGACTGTGAACATCGTTTCCTCCCTTTCAAAATTCCTTCCTTCGTTCTTTTCTCTTTTTTTTCTTTTTCTTTTCAACCCTGCCCTGCACACTTTTTCCAGTCGTATGACTGCTCACCCTCAAGCCCTATTTGCATGTGGCATACGGTCAAATCCTCCATTCTTTGCAGGATGGGGATAAGGAAACACTCTAGCCCAGAGCCAAAAGATGACACGCTTTTTGGCTCTCAAATTTGTGTTGGTTGGTCATCTCTCCACAAAAGCATGTCGATTGAGGTTGTCTTCTTCTTGGTCTTCTTCAGGGTTTCCCGTATCTCCTCTATTCAAGACTGCCATTTTCCATTTGGCCAAACAGCTCTTGGCTATCTCTAAAAAGATCTAATTCCAGATGACTGGCAACTTTAGAAGATTTTAGTTCGAACAGTTCACCAGTGGAACTCCTGGCCTCCAGAAGTTGTGGGTGCTCCTCCATCGCTGGAGGTTTTTAAGAAGAGATTGGAGAGCCATTGGTCTGAAATGGCCTAGGGCAGCGGTGAAATCCAGCAGGTTCTGACCGGTTTTGGAGAACCGGTAGCGGAAATTTTGAGTCATTCAGAGAACTGGCAAATACGACCTCTGGCTGGCCCCAGAGAATAGAATAGAGTAGAATAGAATTTTTATTGGCCAAGTGTGATTGGACACACAAGGAATTTGTCTTGGTGCATATGCTCTCAGTGTACATAAAAGAAAAGATACATTCATCAAGAATCATAAGATACAACACTTAATGATAGTCATAGGGTACAAATAAGCAATCAGGAAACAATATCAATATAAATTGTAAGGATACCAGCAACAAGGTTACAGTCATACAGTCATAAGTGAGAGGAGATGGGTGATTGGAACGATGAGAAGATGAGAAGATTAATAGTAGTGCAGACTTAGTAAATACTTTGACAGTGTTGAGGGAATTATTTGTTTAGTAGAGTGATGGCGTTTGGGAAAACGTGGGGTGGGAATGGAGATTTTGCAATATCCTTCCCCCAGGAGTGGGGTGGGAATGGAGATTTTGCAGTATCCTTCCCCCAGGAGTGGAGTGGGAATGGATATTTTGCAGTATCCTTCCCCCAGGAGTGGGGAGAAAATGGGGATTTTGCAATATCTTTCCCTCAGGAGTGGGGAGGGAATGGAGATTTTGCAGTATCCTTCACCCAGGAGTAGGGTGGGAATGGAGATTTTGCAGTATCCTTCGCCCAGGAGTGGGGTGGGAATAGAGATTTTGCTCTATCCTTCCCCCAGGAGTGGGGTAGGAATGGAGATTTTGCAGTATCCTTCGCCCAGGAGTGGGGTGGGAATAGAGATTTTGCAGTATCCTTCCCCTGCCACACCTACCAAACCACGCCCAACCAAGCCACACCCACAGAACCGGTGGTAAAACAATTTGAATTCCACCACTGGCCTAGGGTCTCCTGCTTGGGCAGGGAGATGGACGGTGTCCGAGTCGTTTTACCCCCAACAGAGAAGCTGAGAACATCTAAAGCTGCAAACCGTCAGCCTGGGCTGAACTAAGGATCACTCTCAGGCCCTGACTGAAATTGACAGTGACAGGTTGAAATAATCTCTTTATATAGCAGCCGTCCATCTTGCTACAAAGTCGCTTCTGTGTCCCCCTGTCAAATCAGAGGACAGCTGGACAGTAAGCCAGACAACCTGCGGGCCTTCGCAGCCCGTCTGAGGATCAGGGGAATTGTTGCTGTTGTGGTGGTGGTTGTATTTTATCTGTCGCTGGGAAATCTTGCCGTTTTGGGGATAAAACCAAGAGGTGGCGATGAATTTTGCCGCGCAGTTCTTCTACTCCACAGGTTTAAAAAATGGATTATCCCGGGAAGAGAGCGAACAAGAAAACGAATACGACCCGTTCTGGCAAAGGTTGGACTATGTTGCCCTGTTGATGTAGAACTTTAGAGTGTTGCTTTTTCTCCTTTAAAAAATTATGGACAGTCCCACGTTTGTACCTGCATCCAGATCAGTGGCTCTTGCCTCCCGTGGAGCCCACCTGCCTTCTTATAGTGCAGTAGTTGGAACGCTAGTTCGCTTCTTCATTTTTTTCATTGCTGTGCTTTATAGGTAATCATGACAATCTGATGATCTCTCTCTTTCTCCTCTCATTTCTGCAAAATTGTAGAAAGCATGAATTTTGCAAAGAATGAATAAAATCTCCTTCCTTCCTTCCTTCTATCTCCTCTTTCTTTCTTTCTTTCTTCCTTCCTTTCTCTCTCTCTCTTTCTCTCTTTTTCCTTCCTTCTTTTCTTTCTTTCTATTCCTTGTCTTTCTTTCTCTCTCTTTTCTTACATTATTTTTCTCTCCTTTCTTTCTTTTTTTCTCTTTCTTTTTTCCTTCCTTCCTTCCTTTTCTCTCCTTCCTTCCTTCCCTCCCTCCCTCCCTCCCTTTCTTTCTCTTTCTTTCTTTCTTTCTTTCTTCCTTCCTTCCTTTTCTCTCCTTCCTTCCTTCCCTCCCTCCCTCCCTCCTTTCTTTCTTTCTCTTTCTTTCTTTCTTTCTTTCTTTTTTTTCTTTCTTTCTTTCTTTCTTCTTTCTTTCTTTCTTTTCCTCTCTCTCTCCCTCTCTTTTTTCTTTCTTCCTTTCTCTCTACCCCTTTTCTTCCTTTTTCTGTCTTTTCTTCCTTTCTTTTTCTCCTCCCTCCTTCTCCCTCTCCCCTCCCCCTCTTTCATTCTTTCTTCCCAAAGCCATTTTTAGATACATCGCACTTTCCCAGTGATTAGATTTGTTGTTTGTTTAATGCTGTATATTTTTTTTTGGTCATTTTCCTCTTATTTTCTATGTTTTTTTTTAATCTTCTGACTTCTTGCTCCCAATGAACTGAAACCAAGAAGCCATTTTATGGACTCTATTGTTTGATCTGAATTCCTCCGTGTTCTTTATGAACGTCATAAAATGTAGCTGACTTGGACAGCTGATTGTGGACTGATTTCAAAGCTAATTGTATGATAGCACCAAAGTTCTAATCTGATGTTTATGATTCTACAATAGAAATCATAAATAAGTTATACTCAGCAAGGGGAGCTTGCTGACAACTTATTGACTGACTATGGTAGTTCTAATCCTTTCTCACATTATAAAATGCATTTATACCTTCTCTATACATTTAGCATCTAGCAAAGCAACAGTTCTGATAACATTATAAAACAATGACAATTGTCATTGAACAAGAACAATTTTCTTTAATTAAGAAAATACCAGCAAACATTACATCCCATAACAACTCATACAAAATAGGAATAACTATGACCTAATTTCATCTGTTAAGAGAGAGAAATATGTTCCAAATGTCAAGACTGAAAGCAATAAAATGAACTGAACCAGCAGAGAAGTTCCTTTTGCTTAAAGGAGGAGAAGCTCTGGAAAGCATTAGAAAAATTAGTAAAATAAGATGAAGAAATAATGTATTAACTGCCCTAGGACTTCTTCACTATCGAATTACTGACTTAAAAAAAAAAAGCTTTTACTATTATTTGATTATAGAAAGAAAAGGAAGATAATGGCATGATTTTTCTCCCCAAAGGCAATTAATTGTTCATCTTACAACAGTTTGTTTAGGGATCATTCAAAGTTACACCATCCCTGAAAAAAGTAACTTCAGACCATTTTTCACAGTTATATAGAATAGAATAGAATAGAATAGAATAGAATAGAATAGAATAGAATAGAATAGAGTAGAGTAGAGTAGAGTAGAGTAGAGTAGAGTAGAGTAGAGTACAGAGCAGAGCAGAGCAGAGCAGAGCAGAGTAGAACAGAACAGAACAGAACAGAACAGAACAGAACATACTAGCTGGCTGGCTGGAGAATTCTGGAAGTTGGGGTCCACGGGTCTTGGAGCTGCCACGTTTGAAGACCTCTGGTATAAGATCTCCTGCATGAGCAGGGGGCTGGACTAGAAGACCTCCAAGGTCCCTTCCAGCTCTATTCTGAATTGAATAGAACAGAACAGAACAGAACAGAACAGAACAGAATAGAATAGGAGTTGGAAGGGACCTTGGAGGTCTTCTAGTCCAGCCCCCTGCTTAGGCAGGAAACCCTACACCCCTTCAGACAAAGTGCATATATCACAGCATATCACAGCATCCCCATGGTCATGTGAACAAAATTCAGAGGCCTGGCAACTGGCATGTACTTATGACGGTTGCAGTGTTCTGAGGTCACATGATCCCTTTTTGCGACCTTCTGACAAGCAAAGTCCACAGGGAAGCTAGATTCACTTAACAACCCTGTGACTAACTTACCTGCTTCAGTGATTCACTTCACAACTGAGGCAAGAGAGGTCATAAAATGGAACAAAATGCACTTAATGTCTCCCTTAGCCACGGAAATTTCAAGCTCCATTGCAGTCGTGCCTTGAGAATACTCTTGTGTTAGGTTTATACAGGGATGGGTTATACTTACCTTTACTACCGGTTTGCTTGTATCGCTCATGCATGCACTCTTCTGCGCATGTGCAGAAGTGTTTTGGTGACATCAGGATCGGTGGGTGGAGCCTCCCGCCGGTTTAACTACTGGTTCTATAGAACTGGTGCGAACCGGGAGCAACCCACTATTGGGTTTATACCAGGAGAAGATGAATGACTGTTAATTTAGTTTTGTAAAATGAAACCGTTTGGTTTCCTCCGTTTGTTACGTTTTTATTATTCTTTTGTTGTGGTGGTTGTTATTCTTTTTATATAACAGCTTTTCTCCATTTTCGTCCCTAGCTCTGGAAAGATGTTATTTGCAAAAAAGTAGGTTTTTAAATCCCATTGCTTGTCTTATTAAACCCACTAAAATTAGAATGCAAACACGCATCGGTGTGTATTTGTGTGTGTGTGTGTGTGTGTTTGGGGGTCAATTAATTTTTTTTTTTAAAAAGTGTTCCATATAACATTTAAAAGCTATGCCTGTAAACAAGAACTAGGATTGTGATTTTGCAATGAGCTCTGTTGAACATGTTTTTTTAAAAAAGATACGCAGGATTCCACTATTAGCCTTTATTGAAAAATACAAGATTCTGAATCCATATTAAATATTAATTCAGTTCAGCGGAAGGAAGGCCATAAATAAAACAAAGATGAGCAGTGTATACGGCAGTCTGTATCCTACCTGGACGATCAAGTCTGAAGCTGGTTGTACTTGGCCAGGAAGAGGTTAGACCTTTCAGTATTCTTGCTTAGAAACCTTCTTGCCATGTAGCCACCGAGAAAGGAATTGCCCAAGATTATTGGAGGAGAAATGGCAGGCAGAACCTGGGGTTGGAGTCTAAAGAGGAATCAGCCTGGAGTCATTACGTTCCTACTAGCGGTCTAAGTTCAACCTCTCTTGAATTCTGTTGACTCTCATCTAGTTCCAATTTATCTAGTGAAATGTTAATTCAGGGTTCCTCAAACTGTGGCCCACGGGCCGTATACAGTCTGCCGAAGCCATTAATTCGACCCATGTGGGACCACGAGGCTGCCCTGCCCACATAGCCCCGCCTACCCGCTGGCCCCCACCTGCCTTCTTGAGGCCAAGGAGGCCAAATATGGGATATGCGGAGGCCACAGGAGGCCAAAAACGGGCCCGTTTTTGGGAGGCAGACTGGTTCTGGAGACCGAGGATGCTCCCCAGCAGAGAGAGAGAGAGAGAAGGAGGGAGGGAGAGAGAGGGGGGAGGAAGAGAAAGAGAGAGAGGGGGGAGGGGGAGAGAGAGGGAGGGAGGGAGAGAGAGGGGGGAGAGAGAGAAAGAGAGAGAGGGGGGAGGGGAGAGAGAGGGAGGGAGAGAGAGAGAGGGGGGGAGAGAGGGGAGAGAGAGAGAGAGATGGAAACAAAAGTCCCTCACCCACCCCCCAAGGCAGCCACATCCCTTCACTAAGCTGCTTTCCACCCCCAGGAAATTAAAGTTTAATTTGTGAGTATTGTTTAATGGACTGCTAAATTGGCCATGCCTACCCAGTCACATGACCACCTAGCCACACCCATCCAGCCGGTCTGGCCCCCCAACAGTCTGAGGGACCGTGAATTGGCCTCCTGTTTAAAAAGTTTGAGGACCCCTGCGTTAGTTGACTAGAGTCTTATGTGTAGGCATGAACAATAAATCAATTTAACTGAAACTTAACGTGTGGTGATGACAGAACTTCCTGGAGCATTGTGTTGTTTGGGGGTAGACTGTAAGGTAGTGAAGAAAATACACGCCTACCAGAGGTGGGTGACGCTACATCATGAGAGCACCAGTCAGTGCTTGCTTACCAGATGGCGATTCTAAATGATTTAGTCTGAATTTGAGAATTCCACACTGGAAGATTTTTGAGATCTTGCACTCAAATGCAACCACACTGGAATTCTGAAACTTCTGAGGTAAGGAAGCTCCACCATGAACCTTCATATACAAGGGACCAGCGTAGAGATGGGTTTCAACAGGTTCTGACCAGTTCTAGAGAACCGGTAGCGGAAATTATGAGTAGTTTGGAGAACCGGTAGTAAAAATTCTGACTGGCCCCACCCCATTCTATTCTCTGCCTCCCAAGTCCCAGCTGATCGGGAGGAAATGGGGATTTTGCAGTAACCTTCCCTTGGATTGGGGAGAGAATGGAGATTTTACAGTATCATTCCCCTGCCACGCCCACCAAGCCACGCCTACCAAGCCACGCCACACTCACCAAGCCATACCCACAGAACCAGTAGTAAAAAATTTTGAAACCCACCACTGGTTACAGTGCTTTTCAGGTTGGCAAATTTCCCACCCTCATTAACAATGAGGATAAAGCAGTATAATAGTAACATTACAATATCCCTAGGTCTTCATATGGGAGTGGTCTTAAACCCTAAAGGATCCATTACATTTTCTGCTACAGCTTCACATTCCCCAAACCTGCCCATAAAGACCAGATGTTGCAGAGATGTGGTCCTCAAAACTTTGCTTTTTTTGCAAGTTTTCCCCCGTCCACTTCAAACACGGGTCAAAGGAACTGAGCAGAAAAAGTAAAAAATGTTAACAACCTCACCTTAGCTGTAACCTTTCTGGTCTCTAAAAGGAACCTATAAACTTCAAGGAGAACTTCAGACCATGAAGTTCCTGAAGCACTGGAAACTGAAGACATGAGAACTAGATCAACAACCTAAAATGAAAACTAGATCAACAATCAGAAGTGGTGGGAGCTTCATTGCTGGAAGCTTTCAAGAAGAGACTGGACTGTCATTGGTCAGAAATGGTGTAGTGCAGTGATGGCTAACCTTTTCTGGACCAAGTACCCAAATGCACGCGCACGCGTGCCCCCCCCCCCACGTGCACCCCTTCAGGTCTCTGAACGGCAGAGACCCAAAGACCAGCTGGCTAGCGGGAGGCGCATGCACATGTATAGCAGAACTGAACTGAGGTGGCACAAAGAGGGCGCTCAGTGCCACCTCTGACAAGCGTGCCATAGGTTCGCTATCACAAGTGTAGAATCTCCTGCTTCTGTGGGGATTGGACTAGAAGAACCTACAAGGTCCCTTCCAACTCTGTTAATCTGTTAAATTTAATCTGTTAAATCTGACAATCTAAAATGACCTTCTTGTTGGAGGTCTCATAAAACATTTTTACCTTGCCTGCATGTAATGCATCCATTGACTTACAGCTGTGGCACCTGATTTTCATAATTTTCTCATAGAATACTCACAACTTCCAACCAACTAACTGACTCACTTCCAGCATGTATATGTGTGTGCATTGGGATGAATGAATGGCTGAAGAACATGAGGGAGAATCTAGGCCCTTAGTAGATAATGTTCTCCTATGTCCCACAGTTGGATTTTCAACTCGGCGAATCGTTCATAACCCATTTCATTCCCTCTTTCTTTAGGAGTGGTGGAAGTAAAGCCAAAAAGCTAGCGGCATCTGCCAGCTCTGAATTATATTTGCATAAGGATCGGCAAAGAAGAAACAGCCGGGCTGAGCAAAGACGATCGTCCATCCACCCGGAGAGGCTGAAAGATTTTGGGGAGGAAGAGGAATTAAACGGGGGAGTGAAGACATGGGAAATGAAGATAATTAGCCAAGAGGAGGAAAAACTGAATGATTCTGCCACCTGCCCAGAGATGGCCATTAGCAAACCGGTTTATACTACCTGCAAAAAAATTCAAGAGATCAGCGCTGCAGCACTCAAGATCCAGTATGGAGTCCTGAAGACCCCCTGCACGGTATTGTTTTTTGCTTGTTTTTCAATGCCAGTGAGGTTCCGAACCATTTAGAAATGCGAATTGCAGAATAACAAGAGTTGAAAGGGACCTTGGAGGTCCTTCTAGTCCAGCCCCCTTCTGAAAAGCCTCCACTGCAGTTAAGTTAATCACACAGTTGTTAAGTGAATCTGGCTTTCCCCCATTGATTTGGCTTGTCAGAAGGTCACAAAAGGGGACCACATGACTGCGGGATACTGCAACCGTCATAAATATGAGTCAGTTGCCAAGCATCTGAATGTGATTTCAGCAACGAAGTGCTCAATGCCTGGAATGCATTACCTGACTCTGTAGTTTCTTCCCCAAACCCCCACAACTTTAACCTGAGACTGTCTACTGTTGACTTCACCTCCTTCCTAAGAGGTCTGTAAGGGGCGTGCATAAGTGCACCAGCGTGCCTACCGTCCTTGTCCTAATATTCCTTTTTACTTACTCTTTTCATGTATTCAAATTATGTTTATACTTTTACCTGTTATCTTATAGATGCTTGAGAAATAAACTTAGGAGTTTGATTATGCCACAAGGGTCATAAGCATGAAAAACGGTCGTAGGTCACTTTTTCAGTGTCGTCGTAACTTTGAACGGCCACTAAATGAATTGTTGTAAATCGAGGACTACCTGTACAATTGCCAATTCCAAACTAAAACTATAATCTGATCCAAACAGTTCTGTTATCTCTTTTTTATGTTGGTATGGGAGACCCTAAGAGGGTTGGCCCAATTTATGACTTTTCTTGTCACAGTTATTGATTGCAGTTGTAAAGTTAGTAACATGGTTGTTAAGTGACTCTAGCTTCCCCACTGACATTGTTTGCCAAGAAAAGGTCGCAAAAGGGGAATCACATGACCCCAGGACACTGCAACCGTCATAAATGTGAGTCAATTGCCAAGCATCTGAATATTGTTCACCTGATGACGAGGATGCTGCAAAGGTCGTAAGCGTGAAAAACGGTCACAAGCCACTTTTGTCAGTGCCGTTGTAACTTTGAATGGTCACTAAACAAACTGTTGTAACTCTAGGACTCTCTGTATCGTCTGTATGTTTGCAAAAGAGCCTTGGTAGTACAGTGGTCTAAGGCACCCTGTTATTAAGCTGGTTATTAAGGCCAGCTGCCTGCAATTACTGCAGGTTCGAATCTCACCAAGGCTCAAGGTTGACTCAGCCTTCCATCATTTCTAAGGTAGGTAAATTGAGGACCCAGTTGTGGGGGCAATAAGCTGACTTTGTATAAATATACAAAAGGATGAAGGCTATTGCTGAGCACATTGTAAGCCGCCCTGAGTCTCTGGAGAAGGGCGGCATATAAATAAAATTTAAAAAAAAAAAGTAAATAAAGTTACTCAATAATGTCCCATTGTTTTCAGTATTCTAGGCTTTCGAAGCAATATGGAATGGAAATATATCTAAAGAAAGAACTTCTTCAGTATACAGGAACTGCGAAGGAGCGAGGCGTCCTTTACCTTTTGATGTCTTTAAGAGAGGTAGGAAAATCAGAAGAGTGAAACACGAGCCCCCGAGTGAATGAATGGTTTGCTATAATTTTGATAGAACTGTGAGAAGTGAGCTAAGCGAGCCTGAAAGACAACAGGCTTCCAACTTCCCTAATTATCTTTTTACAACATTTCCCAAGGAAGTAAACCGGTGTCCTAAATTTGTGGGTTCACGTTCTCCAGGACCAGCAAAGAAATGGTGTGATTGTGGCCTCAGATTGCAACTTCTCCATGGCTGTCGCATATCACGCCTCGGAGCTGCACATTCCTGTTTTTGTCATCATGTCCGCTTGCACCCCGCCGACCCGAGTGAAGATGTGTCGCGAGTACGGTGCCATGGTCATTTCCTACGGTTCTACTGTCAGAGATTCACACCTCCATGCCAAGAGACTGGCCCAAGAAAACAACTACTTGTACCTCGAAGAGTAAGTTGTTATCTTGTAGATCGGGGTATCAAACTCAATTTCATTGAGGGCCGCACAAGGGTTGTGTTTGACCTCGGGGGGGGGGGGGGGGGGGGGGGGGTGGCCAGGGGGGCATGGCCAGTTCAATGTCACTCGCTGAGGCTCCATTTTCAGCCACGACAGCTTCTGCAGCCCTCTGACAGCAAATATGGAGCTTGGGCTGTGCGCGGCCTCCCTGAGCTCCAGGGGTAGGCTTCAAAAATTTTAGCAAGGGGTTTTCTGCCCGGTTGCTAGGTGGGTGTAACCATGGTGGGTGTGGCTTAGTCAGCCTCCTGCACCATGGCAGAGGGGGCGTTTTTGTCCTCCCGGGCTCTGGAGGCATTCCTCAAGCCTCCAGGAGGGTAAAAACAGCCTCCCCAGGCTCCAGAGACCCTCTGGAGGCCAGAAACAGGCTGTTTCCAGACTTCCTGAACTTCTGGTAGGCCCGTTTTTCACCTTCCCTGAGCCCTGCACTTACCTGCATCCAAAATGGCCCACGTGGGGATTCCTGGGAGGGGCGGGGTGGGGTGGGTGGGGCCAGCCAGGATTGGGATTTGCGGGTTCTCCGAACTGCACAGAATCTTAGCTAGAGGTTCTCCCAAACCCCTGCAAACCTCCAGCAACCTACCCCTGCCGAGGTCTATTTTTGCTGGCAGAGGCACTGCGGGCTGGTCCTTCACTGTTTCCAGGATGGCCCCACGGACCAGATCTAAGTACCTCATAGGCCGGATATGGCCTGTGGGCCTGGAGTTTGACACCCCTGTTGTAGATGGTGTTCGCAAAACCCACACTTGAAATGAGCACAACACAAGAGCATGAGTAGCAGTTTTCATTCTTACCTGCAGATGGTAGCATCTAGCTGATTTTGGGCTCAGAAGCTAAACGTGGCTCAGAACTGATCAGGATTTGGATAGGAGACCATCACAAATAGCAGGCTAGATTGTTGGCTAGATTGGAAAATCAAAAATATCATCCTGAGAGACATCCCAGACAAGCTACAGTAGTCCTTGACTTACGACCACAATTGAACCCAAAATTTATGTTGCTAAATGTTAGAAATTCTGTATATAGCCCTACAGAATGGGAGAGAGAGAGAGAGACAGACAGACAGACACCCTAAAATATAGATTCTATATATTGGTATGTCATCTTAAAATTTAGATCCTAGACTAAATCATACACAGAGAGAGAGAGGGGGAGAGAGAGGAGAGACAGGGGGAAGGTAGGGAGGGAGAGAGATAGAGAGAGACAAAGAGACAGACTAAAATGTAGATTCTGTATGTGTCATCTTAATTTTTGGATCCTAGACTAAACCAAATGTGAATGAAAATTCTTTCAACTGCATGGAACCATGGTTCACCTTTGGGCGCATAAAAGATGTATGTTACATTTCTACACTTCACTCTTAACCCGCAAAGGTGAAAACCAGCATTTAGCGACAAGTTTAATGTTTTACCCTCCCAACCTCACACGGTTTTAAAGCTCCAGTTGGGATTCGGGAGCTGCTGTACAAAAGTCCCTTTGTTCGAAAGTATAAAAAGGAGGAAATCGTTTGTTTTTGTGACTCTGTGAATGGAAAAAGCAACGCAACCCATCAGCAACTCTTAAACTGTTGAGACAACTTGGAACTAGAGATTTTTTCTGATGTTTATTGTACCGTACGTACACTGATAATTGCCCGGTTCTTGGCTTGGTTAGATCGATTTGATAGAACAAATGAAACAAAGGCTGTTTTATACAAAATTCCCCTCAATTTGTCATCTTTCAGTTCAGGGGGTGAGGAACAATGGCCCTTTTATGACTTTTGGACTTCAACTCCCAGAATTCCGGAGCCAGACAACTCAGGAATTCTGGGAGTTGAATTTTACAAGTCATCAAGGGGCCTTCAAAAGGTTCCCCATTTCACCTCCAGTTCATACACTAAAGCAGGAGAAATTTTGTTTTGGAAATAGTCTGTTACATGTTCCAGCTCTGATCACCTTATCCTGACCTTAAACTTTCTTCCTGTTATTTATTCATAATCTCTTAAATGGACCTTTTTTTAAAAAAAAATCAGTGTAAGATTGAAGTCTTCAGAGATGGAAGTTAAAGCTTCAGATTTTGGCTCTGCAGAGTGGAAAGAATTACACAGCTGAGCTTGATGTGCAAAATGAACTAAACTTGTTTCCTGTGAATTGCTGGCCACCTTTTATGCCAAGCTGCTTTTTAACCCTCTTTCTGGAATGATAGAAAATGTGAGAAAATAGCAGAGTTTTCTCTTGCTTGCAGTTTGGATAGCAGCAAAAGGGAGGGAGGGAGAGAATGACAGATTGAGAGAGGGAGGGAGGGAGAGGGAGAAAAGAGGTAGAGAACAAGAAAGGAGATGGAAGAGCAAAAGCAGTTGCAAAAAAAGACATTACTGTCTGCTATGCCAATGCCATGCTTAAGGTTTAGAATAGAATAGAATAAGAGAGTTGGAAGGGACCTTGGAGGTCTTCTAGTCCAGCCCCCTGCTTAGGCAGGAAACCCTACACCACTTCAGACAAATGGTTATCCAACATCTGCTTAAAAATTTCCAGTGTTGGGGCATTCACAACTCCTGCAGGCAAGTTGTTCCACTGATTAGTTGTTCTGTCAGGAAATTTCTTCTTAGTTCTAAGTTGCTTCTCTCCTTGATGAGTTTCCACCCCTTGCTTCTTGTTCTACCCTCAGGTGCTTTGGAGAATAGTTTGACTCTCTCTTCTTTGTGGCAACCTCTGAGATATTGGAAGACTGCTATCATGTGTTCCCTAGTCCTTCTTTTCATTAAACTAGACATACCCAGTTCCTGTAAGCGTCCTTCATATGTTTTAGCCTCCAGTCCCCTAATCATCTTTGTGTTGGTTTTATGCCCATAGAAGAAAAATTGGAAAATCAAACAAACACTTTTTGGAAGAGGGAAAAATGTTAAACTTTGGACACATCTGCATGAAACTTGCAACTCACTTAATGTTTAACTAATTTTTTTTTCTGTGCTGCTCCTGAAATTGGTAGGCTATGAACCTCTGGTGCAGAATTGTCTTAGCGTAATAATCAAATGGAACAATTGGATCCAAAATTGTTCACCATGGCAGTTCCAGAAGTTCCTGAAATCAAACACAGGATAACCATACACCACACTGCAGTAGTTAGCATGAATTAGCTCTGGAAAAGCCAAGCTATTGATATAAATACAAAAAGCAGGCTAGTTAGAAGAAGAGTTTTCCCTATAGTGATGTATGGGTGTGAGAGTTGGACACTAAGAAGGGCTGATTGAAGAAGAATTGACACCTTTGAACTGTGGTGCTGGCATAAATCATTGCATCAGGGGTGGGTTCCACTTACCTTTACCAAGCGTGCTGTCCGCACATGCGACCAGCCTTTTGCACGTGCACCTTGCTCACTCGCGCGCCTTCCACGCATGCCCCCAGCCTCGAAAACGTGCCTAAATAGCACATTATGGAGCCAGGGCAAGCCACCGCTACTGGTTTGCCCGAACCAGTGTGAACCGGCTGGATCCTACCTCTGCATTGCATATACCATGGACAGCCAGAGTAACTAACAGAGAGGTGTTAAATCATCTAAAACAAGACACATCACTAGAAACCAAAAGCACAAGACAACGTCTGAGTTAGTTTGGCCATGTCATGGGTGCAAATTCATTGGAGAAGGCAATGATGCGAGGGATAGTTAGTGGAACAAGAAGAAGGGGGCAGGCCCAAGCGGCCACCATCCTCGATGGGGGAGGCGTGGTCCTCGCTTTTCCTTTTTCGTCTTTGCACACTTCCGCCCTTCTACAAGAGGCACGAGATTCCATCATGGGTTGGGAAGAAATCTCTGTGCACGGATACGAGGAGTTCGTTCGGGTCGCCCGCGAACAGGAACAGCGCGGCCAAGTATTCGTGTATTTTAGCGGTGACAAAGATCCAGACAGCGGTACTAGTTGGTGCCCAGATTGTGTTAAGGCTGAACCCATTGTACGAGCTGAACTCCCAAACGTGCCAGATGGATCTATATTCATTTACTGCCAAGTAGGACCCAGAAACTACTGGAAAAATCCCAATAACGAATTCAAGAAGAATCTTAAGTTAACTGGTGTGCCTACACTTCTCAAATATGGAACTCCTCAGAAGCTGGTGGAAGAAGATTGCTTTAAATCTGACCTTGTGCGAATGCTATTTACAGAGGACTGAGTAATTGAAGCTATTACCAGCAGAGGAAGTGCTTTTAGATGAAACCATTGTGTCAAACAGTACGTGAATAAATCTGTAATCTAAGCCATCAAATTTAAATAAAATTAAAAAAAAAAAAAAAAGAAGAAGGGGGCAAGCAAAGAAGACGCTGGGTTGATAACATCAAATCTGATACCAAGTTGAACATCCGACAATTGAAAGAAGCTGTGATTGATAGGGTAGCATGGAGACCCCCTTGCCTTTAAAATCAGTGCTAGTAGGGAGTAGGGTTTGCCCACGTTTTGTATTCACCTTTCCAACTGGAGAACCCTCTGCAGCTGATCCCAACAGGTTTTGGTGTGAGACATATCACCTCAGTGCCCTCACCTGTACAGAGAGAGCCCTCCCCCCAAAAAAAGAAAGGCAGAAGGAAATGGGTTAAGAGAACAGGTGACTACAATGGGAAGGTAAATCATACGGTATCGCTCTTTGTTTTTCTGCTTGTGCCTGCAGAGATGATAGTGCTATCTATCTATCAGGGCTGGGGACCATGGGTTTGGAGATCTACGAACAGGTGCCCAAATTGGATGCAGTGATATTGCCAGCAGGGATTCCCAGTGGATTGCTGGCCAGCAACTCTGCAGCCTTGAAACATCTGAATCAGCAGGTCTTTGTGGTGGTAAGTACCTGTACAAACTTTCTTTTGTGGGTGTGTGTATGCATTTTGAAACCTCTGTTTCAGCTTTCAGTCTTGGGTCAAACCCAATTCAGTTGGAAGATATTTTGGAAGTCTTCTTGTCCAACTCCTTCTCAGGCAGGGAACCCTATACCATTTCAGACAAGTAACTGTCCAATCTCTTCTTAAAAACCTCCAGTGATGAAGACCCACAACTTCCAAGGAATGGTAAAATACTACCACTTCAACAGGAAATGGCCCTATGTTCCATACCTCCTTCTATGTACTGGTGAACACAAGATTAAAATAAGGAAGTGGAACTTCCAGCCAACTCGTCTTTGTGCACCCTGGAGCACGCACATGTGCACTGGCCAGCTGCTCTTCAGGTTTCCGGCACTCCTGCGCACGCGAAGACCAGGTAGCCAGTGCGCATGCATGTGCCAGAAACCAGAAGAGCAGCTAGCGATGGTGCATGTGCTTGCAGTGATTGCTCTGTGTGCCACCTCTGGCATGTGTGCCATAGGTTCGCCATCATGGCTCTATGGTCATCTGTCTTTTGCAGTCCAGTTATAGTAATTATGTTTTAATCCTTACAGCAAAAGTCCTGAGAAATACCTTGAGTTGAGAAAGAAGTCTTGATGCCATAGAACCCATGAGTTCCATGTCAGAGGATGGAGGTGAATCTGGATCTCTCCACCATTGGTCTAGCGCCCTAACCATAACACTGCATTGATTCTCCAAATTCTAGCAAATGCATTTGCAAACATGCCAAGTTTAGTTAGTTATGACTTTGGGCAGGGTTGGGCTTCAAAAATTTTAGCAAGGGGTTCTCTGCCTGGGCGTGACCATGGTGGGTGTGACCAAGGTGGGCGTGGCCTAGTCGGCCTCCTGCACCATGGTAAGGGGCATTTTTGCCCTCCCTGGGCTCCGGAGTCTTTCCTCAAGCCTCCAGGAGGGTGAAAACAGACTCCTCAGGCTCCAGAGGCCTTCTGGAGGCCCTTCCCGAACTTCCGGTAGGCCCGTTTTTCACCCTCCCCGTGCCTCCATGCACGCTCTACACTTAGCTGCATCCAAAACGGGTCACGTGGGGACTCCTGGGAGAGGCAAGGCAGGGTGGGTGGGGCCAGCCAGGAGTGGGATTTGGGGGTTCTCCGAACTGCACAGAATCTTAGCTAGAGGTTCTCTCGAACCCCTGCGAACCTCCAGCAGCCCATCCCTGAGTGGATTGGGTGGTTTCTCTCTCTCTGTCTCTTGGTGATTTAGAGTGCTGGGGAACCAACATAGGTGGTGGTTCAAACTCTACTTCATACCATAAATGCATAGTATCCTCCTTTCCAGAAATATAGAGCGACACTAGATAAGGGTTGTTCCATCTAATGTGTAGCAGCAGGAAAGTGTTTGTTATGTTTTGGGATCAGTGGCAGACTGTTGCCGGTTCAGGCGAACTGGTAGTTCCGACGATCAGTTGGCCCTGCCCATCCACCCCCACCCTATCCTGTCTTATATTTCCTGGCTCAGCTGATTTGTGCAGCATAGCTGATTTCTGTGCCTCCGCTGTTCTACTTACTGAGGCTGCCTTAGAAGTAAGCAGCTGAGCTTCAAATTGCTGTATTTTGAACGCTGCATGTAAGCGTGTTAGGCACGTAAGCGCGCAATCACCAAATCGGTTGTTAAACCGGTTGCAGCCCACCACTGATTGGGATACATTTTAATTTCACCCTAATGATGCCAAGTCTATCCCTGTGTGGGCCATGTCCTCCCAATAGCTCCCACTGCTTTCTGCCCAGTGCAGGGGTTTCTGCAGGAGATTGGTAAATTAAAGGGTATTTCTTTTTGACCGAACCAGATTGCATCCTTCAACATTACCCTGGGATACATATATTCGCCTTCGTTCGTGAAAGAGTATTCTTAATATAAAACATTTGGAAATCTGTGGAAAATGTAGAAGATGCTGACACTGGGATGTGCAACATGCATGAGCTCAACCAGAGCACTATTCTTATTTGTTTCCTCTTGCTCAGGGTGTAGAATTGGAGAACATCCCTGTAGATCAGCCGTCATTAAAGATGGGACAACCTATTGAAGATCACACCTACAGCTATCCTCAATTTTACAGAGGTAAGAGATTTGGGCCTTTGCTCTCTTGACTGTAACTGTTATGCAAATATTCCTGAGGACTTCTTTTGTGTCCATACAACTTTGTCTTCCTCCTAACTCCCTAGTCCATGAGGCTCAGCAGCATTTCTGGAGGTATCTTTCTTTTCTTTATCTTTTATCTTTTATTAGATTTGTATACCGCCCTACTCCCGAAGGACTCAGGGCGGTGAACAGGCACAGAATAAAACACATAAATACAAAAGTTAAAAAACATAATTAAAACCGAATTAAATAATTTCGCCCGAGACAATTAAAATTCCCAATAATTTAAAAACAAATTAAAATTTCAATTTATAAAATTTAAAAGAAAGGGGAGAAAATTAGGCCAGGCTGGCCTGCTGGAATAGGAGGGTCTTAAGGGAACGGCGGAAAGTGCGCAGATCTGGGATCCTCCGTATCTCCGGGGGGAGTTGGTTCCAGATAGTAGGTGCCCTCACAGAGAAGGCCCTCCCCTGGGGGCCGCCAGTCGACATTGTTTGGCTGACGGCACCTGGAGGAGCCCCTCTCTATGAGAGTGTACCGGCCGGTGGGAGGCTGTTTGTGGTAGTAGGCAGTCCTGTAAATAACCAGGTCCTAAGCCATGGAGCGCTCTAAAGGTGGTAACCAAAACCTTGAAGCGCACCCGGAAGACCACCGGGAGCCAGTGCAGCTCGCGCAGGAAAGGCGTCACACAGGAGCGCCATGTTGCTCACATAACCACCCGCGCGGCCGCACTTTGCGCCAGTTAGAGCCTCCGGGTGCTCCTCAAGGGAGCCCCATGTAAAGAGCATTACAATAGTCCAGGCGGGAGGTGATGAGGGCATGAGTGATTGTGTGTAGGGAGTCCTGATCCAGAAAGGGACAAACTGGCGAATCAGGTGAACCTGATGAAAGATCCTCCCGGTCACGGCCGTCAAGTGCTCTTCTAAAGACAGCCGTGAGTCCAGGAGGATGCCCAAGTTGCGAGCCCTCTCCGTGGGGGCCAGCGATTCGCCCCCAATAGTCAGCGATGACGTCAACTGACTATATCAGGCCATCGGAAACCACAGCAACTCAGTCTTGGATGGGTTGAGCCTGAGCCTGTTCCTCCCCATCCAGATCCGCACAGCCTCCAGACACCGGGACATCACTTCAAGGGCATCGTTGGGGTGGTCCGGGGTGGAGATGTACAGATGGGTGTCATCAGCGTACTGCTGGTACTTCACCCCGAAACCATGGATGATCTCGCCCAGCGGCTTTACATAAATGTTGAACAATCTCCCTATCCTTCCAGCCCTCTCCAATGACAGTCTGAAAGTCTGTAAACTATGTTAGGTTTTTAACCCTTATGACTTCAGAGGAAAATCAGGAGACTGGAGTGACTGGGAAGAGAGGCATTTGACACTGTAAAGCATTTGGCAACTAAAGTAGGAAAGCAGATTTCAAGATGATAAGAGATGTCTTCCAACTGAAGGACGGATGAGTAAAGAACCTTCAGCCGTGGAAAGAAATCTAAAGACAGCTTAACTTGCATAATGTAATTCATAAAAGAAGAACCATTTCATGATAAGATGGTAGGCAAGGCAATTAATTGGAGTTGCTTTATTGCAGCTTGTCACTGGCAATTCTTTTGCTCACCCCATGTTATAAAAAGAACAGGTCTAAGAATTCTACGTGTAGCTACTATATGGAGTAATTCTGACTTTATTTTCCTAGAGTTGAAATCTGACAACAAGATTAACTACTGCTAAATTGAGCTACAGTTTTTCTTTCTTTAAAAGATGCCTTTGATGGTATCTGTAGACAGACAAAAAACTGACATTAGATCATAGATGAATTTATATTTAGGTAATTAGTCTTCCTGGATTACCTACACCACTTGCCCTTTTACTAGAAAGTATTTTCCTTCCTTCCTTCCTTCCTTCCTTCCTTCCTTCCTTCCTTCCTTCCTTCCTTCCTTCCTTCCTTCCTTCTTCCCACCCTCCCTCCCTCCCTTTTTTCTTTCTCTTCCTTCCTTTCTTTTCCTTCCTTCCATCTCCTTTCTTTTTTCTCTATCTCCTTATTTGTTCTCTACTTCCTTCCTTCCTCCCTCCCTCCCTGTTTTTTTTCTCCCTTTCTCTTCCTTTTCCTTCCTTTCGTATCCTTTCTTTTTTCTCTATCTCCTTGTTCTCTACTCACTCCCTCCCTTCCTTCCTTCCTCTTTCTTTCCTCTTTCTTCCTTTTCCTTCCTTTCTTTTCCTTCCTTCCTTCCATCTTTCTTTTTTCTCTCTCTTTTCTATTTCTCTATCTCCTTTCTTTTTTCTCTATCTCCTTACTTGTTCTCTTTCCTTCCTTCCTTCCTTCTTTCTTTCTCTTTCTTTCTCTCTTTCTTCTTTCTTTTCTTTCCTTCCATCTTTTCTTTTTTCCTCTATCTCCTTTCTTCTCTACCTCTTTCCTTCCTTCCTTCCTTCCTTCCTTCCTTCCTTCCTTTCTTTCTTTCTCATAGAAATTCAAGAAAAAGTGGGTTTTTTTTTAAGTTGCACAATGTTTTTCAATAGGAAGGGCAGGCAGCTGTCTTCCCAAAAACAAATTCTGCTTGTTTGCCAGCATTTAAAAAGAAAAATATTTAGGATAACTAACAGAAAGATGTATAAATAAATATCACGGCAGAAACACAGTATAACTTTCAAATTAGTCTTTTGGAGATTTTTAAGGGCCAGTCCTAGTTTTCTGCAGCAACTAGAAAAGTCACCAATAGCCAATTTTCATGAAGTTTTGTTAATTTGAAAAAAAAAACAAAAAACCAATTTTGGGGCATTTATACTGGTGGGAGGGAAAAAAAAACTTCACGATTTCATCTTCCAGTCCTTTGCTTGCTCTCAAGGTAGCTTACTCCGAATAGACTCTCCCTTTACTCAGCCTTCCAAACAAATTAGCTTAAAGAGCTGGAGGAATGCAGCCTCTAAGAGAGAAAGATCAAATCTCTACAGCTGTAAATCCTTAGGATGAAGCACCACCCCAGCTCTCTCTTGGTTGGTCCGTAAAGATGAGAGGCGTTCTCAGTAAAGTATAAATTTCCAGCCTTGCGAGATAAGGAACATTCCAAAATGTTGTTTGTGGGTTGGAAAAACTGGTCCTGTGTGCTTAAAATGTTGGGGATTTTTTTGGAGGCAGAAAGGTGGAATTTTCAGACACAACCGCTTCCTTAAATTACAGAAACTGAGTAGTTTTGTTTTAAAATGGCCAGAGGGGTGTGTTTTTTTCCTACAAAAACCACGTTTGAGTTCCAGAAACCAGGCATAGTTTAACACAGAAAGTTCAGTGAGGCTCTGTAGTAAATTTTAGCTTGAGTTGCAAGAGAGTGGAGATTTCCTATTGCAACTCTTATTTGAAAGCAGAAACGCCTCCGTTTTAAAATGTTTAAGATCCTACCAGAAAGAGTGGCAGGGATCATGGATTCATTTCCTTCAGCACATGCTGGTTTAGCTTGCAGAAACAGGTCATTTCCTATCGAAATCTTTGGTTTAATTCAGTCTATAGCTAAAGGGTTACCAGTGACTAAATACCTATTTACTGAGGGCTTCGCTGCAACAAAATGTCAAAAATAACATTTTGTTTCTATAGCACTATTTAAAACAGGATAACTCTTTCAATTAGAGCTGAACTATAGTTAGTTTCGGTCTTACTCTATCGTGAGTAAAACTATTAAAAACTAGAGGGGAAAAATAGAAGCAGGCTGTCCATTTGTTACCCTATTTTAATGTTATCTATTTGAGACTACTATTAAACAGGGAAATGTGCCAAAAATGAAAAATGGGGAAATTGAATTCTGCACAGCAGGCAGCTGAAATTCTAAACGTTGTGATGTTAGTAGCATTTTTAGCAAATGCAATTCTCATCAGCTTATCTTGGGCTACAGCTGCACGACAAACCCCAAAAGATGGTTTGCGAAGGCTGTTTACCTCATGGAGTTCTATCTCTGCTCAGGGCAGGAATGTAATTAAACTTGAAATGATACTTCAGTGTCAATAGAGAGCCTGTAGTACAGTGGACTAAAGCACTGTATTTAACATCTGCTGCTTGCAATTACTGCAAGTTCAAATCTCACCAGGCTCAAGGTTGACTCAGCCTTCCATCCTTTCAAAGGTAGGTGAAATGAGGACCCAGATTGTGGGGGCAATAAGCTGACTTTGTATAAATATACAAAAGTATGAAGGCTATTGCTTAACGCATTGTAAGGCGCCCTGAGTCTCCGGAGAAGGGCGGCATATAAATTAAAGCAAATAACAATAACAACAACAACAACAACAACAACAACAATAATAATAATAATAATAAATAACAACAACAACAATAATATTTATTCAGTTAATGACCAGCAAAATGAAAAAACAAAACTGGTGGACCAAATAAATACAACAATCTACTAAAAACCAGCAAAATGAACTGCATAGTATCACATTCACTCCTCTATTACTAAGTTAATAGATAGTATTAATAGCTTTCCAGCAAGTTATTCCATGAACAATTCCTGTTAGGAAGTTTTCCACCAGTATTCCATTGAAATCTACTTTCCCACATCTTAAACTCCAGAGCTATAATTAAAACCACCAGTGATATTAAAAAAAGGAAGATCCAAGTGATTTCTATAAAAAAAAGATTTCACCTATCAAATATTTTAAAAGGTTTTATCTCCTTCAAACAAGGTTTAGCATATCCGTTTGTTTGTTCCTTTTCTACAGCCACCCATCTCAGTCAATGATTCTGGGCAACTTGCAATTCAGAAAATATATTATGATTGAAAATTAAAAAACACACACACACATTTAAAACAAAAAGAGTAAAAACATTAGAAACAGCCAATTTAAGATTATACGAGAGCAAGTTATTTGGCTTATTAGCAACATAGTGAGGAAACTGGGCCCTTGGCACATTCAGTGTCCCAGACTTGGTGGAAATAACCATGTTTTAGGACCTTATGAAAGGCTAACAATGTTGGGGCCATTCTGGTTTCTGAAGGAAGGATGTTCCACAGAGCAGGGACCACTGCAGAGAAAATTTGCTTTTCCCCCCTTCAGTCTGCTGTCTTGAGGCTGCATCCAGTTTTGGTCACTATACTACAAAAAAAGATGTTGAGACTCTAGAAAAAGTGCAGAGAAAAGCAACCAAGATGATTAGGGGACTGGAGGCTAAAACATATGAAGAATGGTTACAGGAACTGGGCATGGCTAGTCTAGTGAAGAGAAGGACCAGGGGAGACATGATAGCAGTCTTCCAATATTTGAGGGGCTGCCACAGAGAGGAAGGAGTCAAGCTATTTTCTAACCATCTGTAGGCCAGACAAGGAATAATGGATGGAAACGAACAAGGAGAGATTTTACCTGGAATTAAGGAGAAATTTTCTGACAGTGAGAACAATCAACCAGTGGAACAGCTTTTGCCTTCAGAAGTTGTGGGAAATTCATCACTGGAGACTTTCAAGAAGAGATTGGACTGCCATTTGTCAGAAATGGTGTAGGGGCTCCTGCTTGGGTGGGGGGTTGGACTAGATGACCTACAGGGTACCTTCCAACTCTGTTAATCTGTTAATCCCAAGTGCCTTTTTTTTCCCCTCATCTCCCTCTGTGCATGTGGTTTAAAAGCAAATAACCATTTATAAAACTCTATATTCCATTGTAAAAGTATCACTCCGAAGAATATAGCCAGAATATTTTTCATTAACACCGATGGACTTGATTAACACTATGGGCTTAAAAATAGTGCTTTTGATGGCTGCTTCAAAATGCAATTCTGACTATTAAATCTAGATAGCCGTATCCATTTCTTTCATATTCCCCAATGTCTTTCCACCTTTTTACTCCTCTGGTTATCTTTCTGCCTTGATGGTCCATCCTATGTCCTGTTTTGTATTGCTCTTTTGACTGATCTTTATCCCCAATCTCAGAATAACCGGTGGCAACTTTTCTTGACCTTACAAGAAGCATTGCCTGAATTAGACTGCAAAACAGTCAAACCTTGTACATTGTCTTAGCATTTATTTATAACCAGTGGGTAAAACCATTCATGTATTCCTTCTTTGTTTGTCACTTCGTTTTTCAGAATTGAGTGGTTTTGGCACCAACTCTTTTCAACTCACAGGAAACTGGGTTGATAAAGTTGTAACGGTGAGGTATGTAAAGGCAATGCTTATTCTGATTTTTTTAAAAATTAGCATTTTGGGTGATTACTTTCTTGGTCATTTCCAGGTGATCTTCAGAGCCAATCCATATAGATTGGATTTTCTGACTTGGGTGCAAAACAGATTTGAGTTTAAAGGAGGAAAATGGCAGCAGGAGAGATTCTAATTGCAAGATAATTGATTCGCATCCAGTACAGCATAGAACAAAAGTTTCACTGATGTAATCATTTAACGTATAATTACAAATACACAAGTGGATACAAAGGTAGTTTCAACTGTTTTAGGAAGTGAGTGTGATCCTCAGAAGAGTCATTTTTACTTCCTCTGTACTCTTTATTATATATCCTTTTTAATTGTACGCAATCTCTATCAAACCATTTTTTGTTCTTTAAAACTGGCTTTTTGAGCTAGTATTCTCTTAGTGAGAACCGATTTCAATTTTGAAATTAAAGTTTCAAACTCCTCTAAGTATGGTCCTTCAAACTTATTTCTTAGTAGAGATGTATGTAATTCTATGGTTTCTGGAACTAACATCCATTTAGTAACTTCCTTTGCATTTTTTTCGGTCCATTTAATTTTTACCTGGGTATTTTGGCTCTCTAATCTGGGTAGGTAATAAATAGGACATGTTCACAGTAAGTCATCATCCTTGCAGGTAACCCCAATCTGATCTAAATATTCCATCCTTTTTGAAACGGCCTTCAACTTGATAGCCATCTTCCAATACTTGAAGAAGGGAAGAAGGGGTTGATTTATTGTCCGTAGCACCTAAGGGTAGGACAAAAACAATGAATGGAAGTTGCTCAGAGAGAGAGATCCAACCTGGAACTAAAGGGGAATTTCCTTGATAGAACAATCAATGGAACAGGTTGCCTTCTGGTGCGTCATCACTGGACGATGGTTTCATGAAAAGATTGGACAACCATTTGTCCAGGAAATGCTATAAGGACTCCTGCCTTGGGTTGGGAATTGGACTAGAAGCAGGAGTGGTATTCACTTATCTTTGCTACTGGTTTGCAAAAGTGAGCGCACACGCCACCTATGATCATGCGCAGGGCCTTCTGCGCATGCACAGAGCATCAAAAATGGGATGTGATGACATCCGGGTGGGTGGGCAGAGCCTCCCGCAGCCGCTGCTACCAGTTCGCCCGAACCGGATAGAACTGGCTGAATACCACCACTGACTAGAAGGCCTCCAAGGTAACCTTCCAGCCCTATGAATCTATGATTCATGATAGGCAGGCTTGTTCCCTGCCAAAAGTTTTTTAAAAAGTTTTTCCAACGTGCCCCAATATTATTTATTTAACTGAAATAATCTAAGTAAGCAGCCCTTTCTGTAGAGTACAGTTTGCAGTCAGAACGAATGTGTCCAGTTGGGTTTTCCACAAGCCCACAATCTTTCTTCAGATGGAACTCCATGAAACCTCCCATATCTTACCTTAGAAGGTAATCTAGATTCATATCCAGAAATACTGGAGTGAGAAGAAGCAACAGATTTGCTGGTTCCAGAGAACAGAACATTGTGCCGCTGAAGGATGCACTGTGTTCCTACTAAACACAAAGTCCCTTCTAGTTATGCAGGAAAACCTTATATTTTAAAGATGGATGTGCCATTTATGGTTAGTTGCACCCTCTTTATGGAATTACCCCTTTAAACTTGAATATCCTACTTCAGAAGGGGATGCAGTGGCTCAGTAGCTAAGACGCTGAGCTTGTCGATCAAAAGATCGGCAGTTCAGCGGTTCGAATCCCTAGTGCCGTGTAACGGGGTGAGCTCCCGTTACTTGTCTCAGCTTCTGCCAACCTAACAGTTCAAAAGCACATAAAAATGCAAGTAGAAAAATAGGGACCACTTTGGTGGGAAGGTAACAGTGTTCTGTATGCCTTTTGCGTTTAGTCATGCCGGCCACATGACCATGAGTGCTGGCTATTCAGCTTTGAAACCGAGATGAGCACCGGCCCCTAGAGTCGGGAACGACTAGCACATATGTGCGAGGAGAACCTTTACCTTTATCCCACATTGGAGTTCCAGTTCTGAACTTCTTTAACAGATGTGAGTGCAATTCCTTTGTAATTTAGCTGCAAGCCATCCGTGTTTATACATGAAGACCATCTCTTTAAGCTCAGACCACAGAGCTTTAAGAAAAGAAGGAAATGAAGTGATTCAAATGGCTTAATTTTTTTTCCAACTGGAATTAAAATCCAGTGCAGCTGCAAGACATCAGGTCAAGGTGGCCATCCCACTGCAGTGGCCATCCCACTGCAACCCATTTTGAATTTATGGCACCTGCTCCAAGAATTTGGACAGTCTAAAATATTGATTGGGATTTATATTTTGGGGTGGCTAAAGTGGAGCAAGGAGCCCCATTCAGAAAGGTGTGGTATTTGCAGTGTTACCAGTGTGTAAGCTCTACTCCTCGGAGTAAAACTAAATGCCGTGGACCTTGAAAGTTGACATCCTGAGTGGCATCCCACCTCCTCCAAATTTGAAAAAAAACAAAACGTTTAGCAAGTCAGCCAGCCACCAGGTCTTACACAAAGTCTAGCTGAGTTGTGAAAAACGTACCTATCACACCAAAAAGACTATTGGAAAATGAAGTCGATTCCCCACCCAGCCCAGCAGAACAGGAAAAAAGAATTTACTCAGGAGAAGATCTTACACAGTACAGGCAAATTACCTGTGGGGTGGGGGGTGGGGAGGCACTCACAAAGGAATCCGTCCTCTTTTGTAAGCAAACACCAGCAAAGGCCATTGGGATACACATTCCATTGCAACATAACAAAGATTAGATTATGGAACAATGCAAGACAAACTAACAGTGCAGTTTGTCAAGTCTGATGGTCATGTGGTGGCATAGAGAGAACTATTTTTACTAGTTTACTCAAACTCTGGAAAAATCCTTTCGTATAAAGCCAGTTTCTCTTCCTTTCTGCATATGCCATCTAGATAAATGGATTTAAAAGTACATCCCCCCCACTCTCAGCAGTCCTTGGATTAGTTGATTATTTATTTAGTGGCTGGATGGCAATTTAATAGAACCATTTTTTTTATTTTAAAAACAAAACTTTATTCAACATATAAAAAGTAAAATGTTATATCATGTATATACAAGATACATATATTAATACAAACGACAATACATAAAAAGAAAAAGTGACTTTGGTCTCACGTCCATTATCTTATTAACGGTGCATATTTGTTAATTATTGTTACTGTACAGAATTTTACATTTACTCTCATTTCTACAAGTTATCCAATTATACCACCTATTCCACGCTATATAACTTTTTGAGTCTACCTTATCCTTCATTTCAAATGTTAGTTTGTCCATTTTCGCACAATTATAGATCTTTTGGATTATCAATTGGTCTGCTGGCAGTTGATCAGTTTTCCAATATTACGCAAGCGCCAATCTGGCTGCAGTGACTATGTGTAATATTAAATACTTTATTTCTTTCCTATAGTTTTCTTTAATCATCCCTAGTAGGAAAATCTCTGGTTTGAGTTCTATTTTTTCCGATGTTATTTCTATTAACCAAATTCTTATTTTTTCCCAATATTTCCTAATTTTTGGGCAAAGCCACCAGACGTGGAAGAAGGTGCCTGTGTAAACAGTGTAAACATTTTTTTTTTAATGCTTCATCTTAAGCTCGTCTCTTTTGAGGTTTTTTTCACCATCCAAAGTCTAGTTTTGCCCCCTTACTTTGAATTTGAAAATGGGATCGCTCTTTGCTTTTTCATATTCAGTAGTAAATCCCAGATTTTGGACACATTCTGTAAATTGGTCCATTTGATGTATGCTGGTTCAAAAATTGTTGCCGTAGGAAGAACTATTTCACCAGCGATGGGTTTCCAATATTCTTACCACTGGTTCACCGCATGTGCGCCTTCCGCGCATTCGCCTGGCCTCAAAAATATGCCTAAATACCACTAGATGGCACTGCAGGCTAGTTCAGTCAATCAAGCCAAGCATTTTCAACAAAAATCTTTTCCGCTTTCAATTCTGTTCAAACTTTAATCACAATTGTTTACAACTATTTCATCTCTTTGTATAAAAAGGTTCAATCTTCTCAAATTTGGTTAGTCCAAATTTTTAAAAGAATTCCCAAGTTCTTTCATTTCTCCTCCAAAAAAGAAAGTTTATTTTGGCTTTGTTACTTTCATTTTCCTCACCACCCAGTATCGGATGTGAGAGCCGAATACACTCCCGCTCTCACTCTTCTCTCTCAGCCTCTTTTCCACTCTATTTGCTTACAAGTGGAAATGAAGGGAAATGTTTTTTTCCAAAAAAAGAAATTTTCTCACCTCGATGACACACATTGTCATCTTATTCTTTCAACTGTGGCCGCCCCAGCTTCTTAGCGACTTCTAAGATCGCTTTCTCCACCGCCCAGTTTGAGGAGCTTCTCCAGATTTTGTGATCCCCTTGTGTTGATTTGTCTATGCTCCTCTTGTACGTCTTCCTACAGGAAGACTTAGGTCGACTCCTGGGCAATGGAGATATCGAAGGATCTTTAGGAGCATCCAAAGAGTCTGTTGTACTGCCGCGATGCTGGCCATGCCTTCTGCTTCTGTGTCTGGCCTCAAAAATGTGCATAAATAGGCCATCATAGAGTGTGGGCAGGCTCACCCACCCGCAATCTCTGCTACCAGTTCATCCGAACCGGTATGAACTGGTGGAATACCACCTCTGTATTTCACCCAGTTAAAGGTTACAGGAATGGGAGTTTTAGTAGTACATAGATTACAGAAAAGAGATGAGACTTACTGTCAGGGTTCCAAGTAACACCCCCAACAAAAGAAGACTCCGAGGCTTGAATTTCCTCAAAGTTCATTTAGTGACTGTTCAAAGTTACAACGTCACCGAAAACGACCGTTTTTGACACGGCCATTGAAGCATCCCCATGGTCATGTGATCGAAGTTCAGATACTTAGCAACTGATTCATATTTATGATGGTTGCAGTGCCCCAGGGGTCCCGTGATCCCCTTTTGTGACCTTCCAACAAGTCGATGGAAAAGTTTCACTTAACCGCTGGGTTACTGACTTAAAAGCTGCAGAGGATTCACTTAGCAACCATGGCAAGGAAGGTCATAAAATGGGCCAACATTCACTGAACAAAGGTCTCGCTTAGCAACAGAAATGTTGGATTCCATGAGGGTCTGCCCCAGTGGTGGGGGTGGCATGGGAAAGATAATGTAAAATCTCCATTCCCTCCCCACTCCAGGGGAATATTATTGCAAAATCTCCATTTCCTCCCAATCAGCTGAGACTCAGGAGGCAGAGACTAGATGGGGGTGGGGCCAGTCAGAATTTTTACTAGCAGTTCTCCGAACTACTCAAAATTTCCGCTACCGGTTCTCCAGAACTGGTCAGAACTTGCTGAACCCCATCTCTGGTCTGCCCGTATTGGACATGACAAAGATTGGCCTTTCCGATTCACTTACTCTGTTCAGTGCAATATATTTGAATCATTAAGAAATAAAGACCTTGCTGATTTTCCCCCATCTTCAGAGAAGAAGACATCTTGATTTCTATGCTGAGGTTGCTGGAATATGAACGTGTGGCTGTTGATGCAGAAGGAGCCATTGCACTGGCTGCTCTCGTGTCTGGGAAACTGCCAGAATTAAAGGGCAAAAGGTATAAAACTTATCTGAAAGCTCAGTTTTGTATATTTATTGGACTGGAAAAAAAGACCACCCAAGGAATTTCAAGGTTCTAACATAGACTGCAGAATTGCAAAACCACCCTGAGAGAGTTGACATTGACTCAATGGAGAATGATCTTCCTCCTCCAATTTGGTTGGCAACTCCTAGTTGACCTTGGCTGGTCTTGTAAGCCTAGCAGAGCCAGTTTTGGCCAGGTTTTGGTTGAGAGATTACCAAGGCAAGGGAAAAAGTACTTCCTTAGTCTCACCAGAGAAACTGCTTGGACATGCCCAAGCAGCCGTCGAACTCAGCAACCAGAAAGCAAAGGGGGACATTTATCTCCAAGTCAAAAGAAATGCGGGGGGGGGGGGGCGGACTAGAAGACCTCCAAAGTCCCTTCCAACTCTGTTGTTCTGTTAAATGTATCTCCTGCTTCTAACTGCTCCTCCTCTTGGAAGCTGATGAAAGAAAGCTAGTGGAGGGGCAGAAGGCTAATCTTTCTCAGATTTCTCTTAATTCCATAAAATGAAGCTCAATGAAATGTCTGATTTTAGGACATTGTACTTGTCCACCTGAGGGGATATTCCAAAACCATAATTGATGAATTGGAGGTGCTTCTTCATGGCTTCTGATGAATGACTTGGGAAGTGGCTGGGAGGGGGACAGTACTGTACGGAGCTCCTTCTTTATCATCCCTGTCTTCCAGAAATGGTCAGCATGTTGTCATAGAACTGTTAAGACTTAGGCTTCCCCAGCAGCACGGAGCCGAGTCCTTGTCCCGATAAACCCCTTTTTTCAGGGTGAATTTACAGTGAATTTCTCTCCAGCAAAGTCTTTCCTCTCCCACAGTCGTTCAAGATAGTTCACAATTACTGACCTTTATCAGGCTTGGAGAGTGGCCAGGCCGATATCTTTCAGATGCCGCAATACTTGGCAAAAATGCAGGAATGATCTAATTGTCTCCTGCAAACACCCCTTACCTTTTGCATCTCTTTTATTCCCTATGGGAGGGGCTCTTCATTGTCCATTTGTGGCCTTACTCCCAAGTCGATCCTTGTTCCTTAGCTGTTCATCTGGCAACTCTGTGCATGCGCACACTGGGAACAGGCTCCAGCTGTTTGTCTGCCTCACTGATATCTGACTCCAAAGGCAGCTGATAGCTGTCATAAGGCCCTGGCCCCATCTCTGCCTCCAACACAGACCACTCATCAGAGCCTTCCCCAGACTCCAGGACTGGCCCATGTTCCTCCCCAACCTCCCCACTGTCCAAATCTGCTGCCAGCTCCGCTGGTCACTGGTGGGCCACAACAAGAACCTCTTTATTGTCCGGGGACCACTTCAGGCTTTTGATAGATAGGGCAGCTACTCCTTCAGCATTGAGTTCTGCCAGATAGAGATGGACTCTGTGGATCCATCTCTGCTGGGATGGGAACTGCAGGAACACAGGAGTCTGGAACAAGAGGACCTGTCAGTGGAAACAATTGTCCAACTGGCGCTCCCATCTCTACTGTTGGAATCTTGGGATCCAGAGGGACCAAGATTCTTTTACCCTACATTTGATATAACCAGCAGTTAATTCCCTGCCTCAGCTCCAGGATGAGGGGTACAAAGAACTCCACCTGTACCTCCTCCAGCAGTCACCATGAGAAGGCGCCCAGGCCATGTAACTCAACTGTAAGAGTCATGATTACTCCCTTTGATTTGGGATAATTTTAAAATCCAATTTGGAAATAGGAAGTCCATCTGCTACTTCAGTTCAGGAATAAATTTTTGAGTGTATATTTACCGCACTCAGCAGGTGTAGTCATTAATGGAACTTACATCTACATGGAGGGAAGCATGCAATGGGGTACCTAAAGGTTCCGTCTTACATCCAGTGCTCTTCAATATCCTCAAGGTTATCTAGATGAGGGGATAGAAGTTTGCCTCCCAGTGTTGTGGTTGCTCCATCGCTGGAAGTTTACAAGGAAAGGTTGGACAATCATTTGTCCAGGATGGTAAAAGCTCTTCCTACGTGGCCATGGGTTGGACTAGAAGACCTCCAAGGTCCCTTCCAATTCTATTATTCTGTGCTTTATGTTCTAGACATGATGGTTTAGTTTTATCATTATTTTGGATGCTGTTTGTTAGAAATCCTTTAAAAATCCCTTATAGGAGTTCTTAACGATTTTTGTCCCCTTTGAAAATCTGATGAAACCAATGGATCATTCTGAAAATATACCTAATTATATGGTATAGAATAAAATAATAAAAATGACATTGTCATTGTTATCCCTGTCCAAGTTTACATGGAACCTTGAAATTTACCCTACCCTACTTTGTAATGCTGGAGATGAAGGATGAATTAAATCCTTGGATTGTCTTAATACCATGGTGAAGTGAACATATGTTGTGGGGGGGGGGAATGCTGCAAATGCTTCCTACATTTTCCCATCCCTGACTTAGTGGCAGGTGGGTCAGATGGTTCTAAAATTAGCAAGTTCTACTTGGCCGTATCCACCAGGAACTTCAAGGGGGAGTATGCAGATGTGACAATGAAGTAGTTTCTGTTTTGTCCCATTTGGCCATGTATTGAGGAAGCAGAAAGGCAGGTGTATGAAGAAAAAAAAAACACCCTAATATAATTCCTAAGTAGAAATTTTACCCTGAAAAGGAGTTGCTGTACAGACTTCCTTGAGTATGGAAGTTCAGCAGATGATATCCTTCACCTCCTTGCTAGGTTGACATCTTCACCCCCCCAGGTGGTGTTTAGAAAAATAATAAGGTGGAACCAAACATGTGTTGGTTTTCTTTATAAATTTTCCTCCCCCCAAAAAATGGGTGAAGGACTATCCTACCCTGAGCTTGGAATGAGACAAGAGAAAGAGAGATTTTAGTCCATTCCACTCTGGAGAACTTTGTTCTCCAAAATCTCCTGCTTTATTGGCTTCAGCTTGTCCAAGATTCATTCAAAGGAATGAAAATCAGGAACTCATTTTTACTGGGAGACTAGTTTTCCCCAGGCTTGTATTCTTCTGGTAGTTGCGCCCACATAACAGGATGATGGAAATTATAATCCAAGAAATGGATTATTATATATTTAGAATGTAGAAGAATGGAAGGAGCTGAGCAGATATGGAGACAAAGGCCTACAAATCTTGAAGGCTTGTAAAACAGGCATCTACTAGAAGGCTCTTGTTAGAGATGGCCAACGGGAAACAAGTTATGAAAGATGTTCTCCTAAAGGGAAAAATGGTTTGTTTAATTTTCTCCCCCTTGTTTCAGAGTGGCTGTGGCTGTGAGCAATGGAAACATGGAACTCCCTCTGATGAGGCAGTGCATGGATCAGGCCCTTACTCTTGATAACAGAGTGTGCAAATTTACTGTCATGACCGTTGACTGCCCAGGAGAGATTTCAAAGCTACTGGAGACCTTAGCTCGTGAGGAGGCAAGGTAGTCTAAACGTGATTTGACTTTGACGGGGACCATAATCTACCGATTATGTACAGTAGGTTGAAACGATTAAATAACATAAGAGAATATTTACTGTTATCGCCAGTGAATACCTACTTGGATGTGTCCATATAGTCACCAGGGCCCGAAGTTGCCTTAATTCCTTGTCATATTTGGTGGAGACCTTGATGTGGTAGGAAGCCAAGTTTTGCCCTTGAAAAATCCACCATATCTAGAATACACATATGCGTAGAAAACTTATTTATCTGTTAGATTTATTTGCCTCCTATCTTGCCATGGGGCTACTTTATTGTTTGGTTTACAACAATAAAAAGGGGGGGGAAATGAAAGGTGTATAAACAGAAGTAAAATAATAGAACAATAAAACAAACCATCAACAAAGGTAGACAACAAGAATACCTTGGTATGATAATCAACAAGATGGATGGGTGGAGAGCAGGGAGGAAGGAAAGAGGTGAAATCTGCCATCAATCCAGCAGACACCTCCAGTGTGGAACTCCCCCCATTATAACCCAAGACCAGCCAGGAGAGCCAGGTCTTCAGGTTCTTGTGAAAAGACAGGAGGATGGGGGTGGATCTTACCTTAGTGGGTAAGATGGTCCACAAGACAAGTGCTACAGCAGAGAAGGCTCTTCTTCTGGACTCCAGTAGTCAGACCTCTTTGACCAATGGATCCAAAATAGGCCCTCTCAGCCAGCACAGGTAGGACACCAGAAAGGACAATTTGTATCCAAAGAAGAAAAGGTCACTTCATTTATTTGCCCTAGCTCCCAGTCACTAATCTAAAAAAGTTTAAGGTGTCCATCCAACATAGCAACTTCATATTTTTTTCTTTTTTAAAAAAAACCTCTCCATTTCAGAAAAATACACAGAAACCAAGAAATGCTTTGAGAAAATAATCTTCTGTCTAAAAGCAATGGAAACAGTGCCACACAAGGCTCTCGGCCCAAAGTGGTGGAATTCATTTTTTTTTACTACTGGTTCTGTGGGCGTGGCTTGGTGGGCATCGTGTGGCTTGGTGGACGTGGCAGGAGAAGGATACTGCAAAATCTCCATCCCTCCCCACTCCTGGGGGGCAGGATATTGCAAAATCTTCATTCCTACCCCACTCCAGGGGAATGATACTGCAAAATCCCCATTCCCACCTCACTCCAGGGGAAGGATACTGCAAAATCCCCATTCCCTCCCCACTCCTGGGGGAAGGATACTGCAAAATCTCCATTCCCACCTCACTCCAGGTGAAGGATACTGCAAAATCCCCATTCCCTCCCCACTCCTGGGGGAAGGATACTGCAAAATCTCCATTCCCACCCCACTCCAGGGGAAGGATACTGCAAAATCCCCATTGCCTCCCCACTCCAGGGGAAGGATATTGCAAAATGTCCATTCCCACCCCACTCTGGAGCCAGCCAGAGGTGATATTTGCCGGTTCTCCAAACTACTCAAAATTTCCGCTACCGATTCTCCAGAACCTGTCAGAACCTGCTGAATATCATCCCTGTTTTGGGGTAGACTTTTTTTAAACGTCTTCATTTCCACGATTCTTGATTCAAATTGGCCTTGACTGGTTTGTAGAAATTCTGCAAAAACCCCATTATTGCTTCAGGCCTGTGAGACTGAACTAGCTACAACCTTACATTAAAAGAATCTCTTTGTTCCAGAATCTTGAACATCAGACAAGAACAGCCATACATGAGATCTGATTTGTTCACCAATGAGGTAAGCAAGGGAGGAGAAAGCTCCATGAAATTCTGTTTTAACTGAGCTGTGCCAAGTTCTGCATATAATACTTTTTGAGCTGCGCAGGGAGTCCAATTTCTAGCAATTCAGTTAAAGAGCTTTGCATTCAAGATGGGAAACCTGAAAGCTCCATGAAGCCTTCTTAATATATATTACAGGCTCCATCCACGACCAGTGATGGATGGTATTTGGCTTGTAAATTGATTGGAGGTGCCTTTTTAATATGTAATTTTTTTTTGCTGAGAATGTTTTACATAAGATTAAAACTATGGAAATGTCAAAGGTGAGAAAGAAAAACAGAAATAAAAGTGAAAAAGTCAAAGTCAAGGAAAGAGGGAAAAGGAAGGAAAAGGAACAATATCTAAAGCAATCTCTCATGTTTTTTTTTTTTTAAAGCAGTTAACAAACCAAAGAACAAGAGAACCATCATCACCCATCCAAATTACATATCTTGGTCCCCTTCTTCCCATAAATAATCCTTTTTCATCAGTCAACCCTGAAAATATCCATTTGGTTTTATCCAGCTTTAGCAAAAGAGTCCATATAGGCTTTCTAGCCTTCTATAAAAATAGTTATTTTCCCTTTCCTAATTGGGTAAGACAATTTAGCCATTTCAGCAAGTTCTAACATCTTACAGTCTACTCCATTGTGGATATTTCTGTCAGAGTTTGTTGCAACACACACAAGCAGACTATTAAGCAGGATTCAAATGTCTTTATATACATAACACATAAGGCATACAATACCTTTGTAGATTTTTCCACATTGTAGGGAAGAGAAATAGCAAGTGCAGCACAAAATGGAAGCACAAAATGGAGAAGGCAAAATGGAGGAGAGCAAAATGGAGGACAGAGAAGCTAGTGCCCTCAAGCTTATATACAGAATAGTTAAACCATGCCCAGGCTCCAAACTGTCTCTTATGGTCCCATACAACAAATACTATGTTTCAGTTACCAAACAGCCCTCATTGGCTGACCTGTTGCTATGCTGTATTCCAGTTCATGAATATACTCTGGCAATTTCTGTATTTCCTCCCCCTCACATTTTTATGCATATAGAGTAGCCCTGCTGCAAACAAAACCAATCATCTAGTATAGAGATGGACATCACTTGCCTATAAAGTTGCCAAGAATTGGATACAGCTGAATGGTTAAAACAGCAACAACAGTGTAGATTATTATTCAAATAATTACCATACCATGGTCTGCATTACCATTAATACAAAATCAATCACTCATGAATTTTTTTTCTTTTTTTTTTTAATTTTAAAAACAAACTTTATTAAACATATAAAAGTAAAATACTATACCATGTATATACAAAATACATATATATTAATACAAACAACATTACATAAAAAGAAAAAGTGACTTTGGTCATAAGTCCGCTATCTTATTAATGGTCCATATTTGTTAATTATTGTTATCATACAGAATTTTACATTTACTCTCATTTCTATGAGTTATCCAATCATACCACCTATTTCACGCTATCTAACATTTTGAGTCTATCTTATCTTTCATTTCAAATGTTAATTTATCCATTTCCGCACAATTATATATTTTTTGGATTATCAGTTGATCTGTTGGCAGTTAATCAGTTTTCCAATATTGAGCGAGCACCAATCTAGCTGCAGTGACTATGTGTAATATTAAATACTTTATTTCTTTCCTATAGTTTTCTTTAATCATCCCTAGTAGGAAAAGCTCTGGTTTGAGTTCTATTTTTTCCGATGTTATTTCTATTAGCCAAATTCTTATTTTTTCCCAATACATCTTAATTTTGGGGCAAAGCCACCAGACGTGGAAGAAAGTGCCCTGTGCCTGCTTGCTTCCAGCAAGTTGGACTTAAATTCAAATACATTTTTGCTAATCTCAAAGGGGCCAGATACCATCTATACCACATTTTGTATTGATTCTCTTTATAAACCATTGACTTTGTTATAATATAGTTATTTTCCCACACTTTTTCCAGTCCTCCAATTCTATGTTATGTCCAATATTTCTTGCCCATGCTATCATTTGTCCCTTTACTAATTCCTCTGCCAAATCAAATTCCAATAAATATTTGTAAATTTTTGAAATCAATTTTTCCTCCGTGGCTTCTAAAAGTTGATCCAACCGATTCGTTTTTAATTCAATTCCTCCTTCCTCTTGATCCTTTTTGTATCTTGTTTTTATCTGAAGATAGGGCCACCAGTCTATCTGTATTCCTTGATCTCTGAGTTCTTCTTGTGTTTTTAGTGTTCCCTGGGGATCCAATATTTCATAATATCTTACCATTTTTTGAATTCCTAAGGTATTGGGGTGTATCATCGCCTCCATTGTGGAAAACCACCCAGGAACTTTCATATAGTGTTTACATTTTAATTTCTTGCCATGTATAAATTAATGAATCTCTTAGTATATGATTACAAAAATACCTATGCATTTTGTTCCTGGTGTTCCATAAGAAGGTGTGCCACCCCATCAACAAATCATGTCCCTCCAACTAGAATTTTTTTTTCTAGTTGGGTATCCATAATGGCATTTTCTTTTGGGTTTCATAAGCTTTCTTGAATGCTTGCAAAAACAGAAGGTGGAGTACGAATTAGATAGTACTAATAGTACAGTAGGTTTCTACTTACTCCCCACTTTGCCACAATTGTACCCCAGCAGTATTGAATTTCTCCCTTGTTCCCAAGTTGTTTTTTTTATCCTATCCATCAATGAGGAGGCTTAAAATGTTCTTAAGATACAAATCTGTATTCCCCCCCCCTTATTGTTAACACCACGCAGTGAAAACCTCAAAAGTGGTAAATTAGTTAGGCCCCATCCATTTTGTTGGAGAAAAATTAAGGTACTGGATAACTGGGAAAGTGGAAGAATACAGATTGGCAATGATTACAACCCATTAAAATATGGTTATGGAATTCCATAAATTCCTGCCTACCTTTATTTTATGCGGAGTAATTGATTGAGATCAGTAGGGAGTGGCGTGGTGGCCTAGAGGTGGAGTTCTTGCCTCACAATCAGGAGGCTGTGAGTGAGTTTGATCCCAGGTAGCAGCAGGTATTTCTCTCTCTGCGCAGAGAAAATATCTGCTGTGAACTTTGCATAGGCATTAGGAAGGGCAACGGGCAAGTAAACTCTCTGTTCCATTCACTTCGCCCCGACTCTATCTCGATGTGAGGGATTACAGGGTCTTTAAGAGAAAAAGAAAATTTGAGATCAATTGTTTTCTAAAGCCCTGATTTAGTTTACTGAAACGTAATACACTTTTCCTTCCCAGGTGTCCTGTGTGATAGAAACCAGAGACAGAAGCCATACCACTCAATTAAGAAAGATCCTCACAGAACGTTATCCAACGATAATATGGGTGGAACGGTGAAGATGATGACAGCTGATCGGAAGCTCCATTTTTTAAAAAATAATATGGAAAGCAATAATATTGCAAGTAGCATTTCTTCCTAGAACTTGGCGATCCATCAGTGACAGAGTTGATGTATGTTCTCCCCAAGAGGTTGCAATCTAAAAAGAACAATCAATATGGAGTAAATAGCTTTAAGTTTTATTTATTTCATTCAGGAGAGTTTTTGCACAGATCCATAAAAGGCATATGTTAAACTCCAGTTCATAATTCTATCTCCCTCGAGTGTAAGGTGAACCAATAGAGATACAGTACAATGTTACCATAGATGTTCTACTTGATGACAATTCATAATTTCTGGGTCAATCCAATATTGCTGCATCAGTAGTCCATAAAAATTACTAGTTAAATGTTTACTAATCAGTCCACTTAGTTATTTCTGGCACACAGTCTGGGGGGGGAAAGGACCAATCTGTCATCTTCATCTTTTAGGAAAATTGATCTTGCAAATATTTTTTTCCCCAAGTCTGAATTGTTTTTTATCTTTTCTTCATCTAGATCATTTTGGACCTGGCAAGTATTTCCTATTAGGACCCAATCTTGCCATTGCTCAATTTAAAATTTTAGGTTTTTAAAGACCACACTGGGCTACATATTTTGGGTTGGGGGTTTCCTTAGAAGTCTGCTTCTTGGTTGTTGTTTTTTTTAAGTAAAATATATTCGGACCACAAAGCAAGTTGAGTTTGTTCATAGGGAGTCAAATCACGCAGAATTTGCCTTGTGTTTTGCCTTCCTGGTTGGAATTTGCCTTCCTGGTTGGAAGAGAGAATGTTCAAGAAGGAAAATAAATAAGTAAAGATGGCATTCACATGAGGAATCCCACATGTATGTATTCCTGGCAAAAGATTCAGTCACTTGTAATCAACCCACGTTTTGTTTCTCAACACCAAAAGCCACAATTTTGCTTTAATTTCCAAAATCTGCAGGTATCTGAGTTAAGGCTGATGCCTCTTTTGTTTCTTAGTCGGTGGTAGTGGACAGTGGATATTGCCAACACACGGAGTCAATTGCAAGACTTGCTGTTTTATATTTATATATGTGTGCTAATTACAAAGTCACAAACTTAATTACACAAAGTCACCTCTTTCTTAACAGTAAGTCAATCGCTTGCTCCTTCCTCATCTACATTGTTGAACTTGTCACCGTTTCCAGTTTGTAGAGGGACAAGAGACTGAAAAATTTAGTAAGCCTCTCTTGACAGCTCTTGAAAGGTCTAAAGCAGTGGTGAAATCCAAAACTTTTTTACTACCGGTTCTGTGGGCGTGGCAGGGGAAGGATACTGCAAAATCCCCATTCCCTCCCCACTCCTGGGGGAAGAATATTGCAAAATCTCCATTTCCACCCGACTCTGGGGCTAGCCAGAGGTGGTATTTGCCAGTTCTTCAAACTACTGCTCACCTCTCGGACTTGCTTGGGGATGTCATCAGCCTCCTCTTCCTCCTCCTCCTTTATCCCAGAGGTCACACTTTCCGCCTGGCTGGCGTCTGCGCAAAGAAAGCATCCGTCACTAAGAGGGAGCTGGGCCTGAGGTTTTGACACCCGGGATTTCCTTTCTGCAGAAATCCCCAACAGCTTCCCAGTTCTAAGCCCGTTCAACGAATTTGGCTTCTCCAAAAGGATTTCAGTGCTGGAAGTTCCCACGACTGCCTGCCTGAGATCCAGCCCGGCAGCCAAAGATCTCCTGGTGGTCTCCCATCCTTCTCTTCTTCCTCTCTGCAACTGCAAGACGTCTACTTCTGAAGCCCGTCAGAGGCTCCACGTGCCTCCAACTCTCTGCTGCGGGCACCTGGCCAAGCAAAAATGGCCTTTCCTGGGTTCACAAAGTGCAGGCCGCCCTCCGACTTGCAACCACAGCCGTCACGAAGTGAGATGGTCATTATCTGAGTCACATCCAATTTTATAACCTTTTATGTGGCGGTTGTTAAGCAAAGAAAGGTTGTGAAATTGGGTGTGACTCAGATAATAACTGTCTCACTTAAAGGTCTGGTCCCAATTGTGGTCACATGTCAAGGACTACTTCCAGGTGAGAGATTCCTGGGAGGCTCCAAGAGTAGCGTTTTTTCAACCTTGAAGATGGGTGGACTTCAGTTGTCAAGGTTGGTCCTTTCCTAACCAAGCAGATCTGGAGACTATCAAGATGTCTCCTTCTTTGACCCAAGGAGCTTCTTCTAACACATTTTCCACCCAAACTTTCTCTTCTCCCTTCCTTCTTTTGTTCTTATTTTGTTCCTTCCTCTCTCTTTACTCTCCCTCCTCCTTCCTTCCTTCCCTCTCTTTCTTTCTTCCTCTTATCCTCCGTCCCTTCTCTTTCCTTCCTTCCTTCTTCCTCCATCCCTTTTCTTCCTCCCTCTTTCCTTATCCTCCTCCCTTTCTTCCTCCCTCTCTTTATTCTCCCTAGCTTCTCCTTCCTTTTTTACTCTCCCCTCCCTTCATCTCTCCCTCTCTCCTCTTCCTTTCTTCCTCTTTTTATCCTCCCTCCATTCTCCTTCCTGCCTGCCTTTCATCCCTCCTTCCCTTTCCTTCCTCCCTCCTTCCTTCTTTATCCTCCCTCCCTTTTTATTCTACCTAGCTTCTCCTTCCTCCCTTCCCTCCCCTTCCTTTTACTCTCCCCTCCCCTCCTCCCTCCTTCATCTCTCCCTCTCTCCTCCTTCCTTTCTTCCTCTTTTTATCCTCCCTCTGTTCTCCTCCTTCCTTCCTGCCTGCCTGCCTCCATCCCTCCTTCCCTTCTCTTTTCTTCCTCCTTCCTTCTTTATCCTCCCTTCCTCCTTCCTTCCTTCCTTTCGTCCTCCTTCCTCCTTCCCTCCTCCCTCCCTTCTCTTCTACCTCCTTTCTCCCTCCCTCTATGGAGATTCTCCAGGTCCTCCAGGTTTGTCCCAAAGGTGCTTTTTCAAGAGGCAACTGGACTTTCTGGAAGGAAGTCCTTTGGTCCCTTCCTTCCCTTCGCCCCCAGACAAGGCAAGCCCACCCACTTTCCAGCACCTGAGTGATGACCCCAGGGTCAAAGCAGGGGCTCCAGCCTTCCCCAAACTTGATGGCCTCCTGGCGCAAAGGTACCTGCAGCATCGTTCTCCTCGGGGGCAGGGTCCGAGTCGCTGCAGTCCCCGTTGGTCAAGGTCAGATCCATCGTCCAACGGATTTCTTTTCTCTTTCATCTTAACCTGCGGAGAGATTTCCCAGGAGGCAACTTTCAGCCAAACCAAACTTCATCTCTGCAAACAGATCTCCCCATTTTCTTGGATCCCAAAATGAAGAAGATTTACCTCACAGTTGCAATGTTCCCATTTTAAAAAGTTTTTTTTTGCAGGCTGAGTCCAAAATTTTCAACTCCCAGAATTCCCCAGTTAGCATGCCTTAAGATGGGTGGACCTCAATTCCCATAATTCCCCATCCGTCATGCTTTAAGATGGGTGGACCTCAACGCCATAATTCCCCAGCCAGCAGGCTTTAAAGATGGGTGGACCTCAACTCCCATAATTCCCCAGCCAGCAGGCTTTAAAGATGGGTGGACTTCAACTCCCATAATTCCCCAGCCCAGCAGGCTTTTAAGATGGATGGCCTTCAATTCTTCAGAAAAATCTCCTTTTTTCGGGCCTAGTTAAGACCAGTGTTTTCCAACTTTGGCCACTGTAAAACATGTGGACTTCAACATATTGTGAATGTTTTTAAAATGTTATCTAATTTAATTAATTGGGTTGGGCCAAACTATGTTATAATAATAATTTTAATTAGCAATTTTATGATGTTTGTGTATCTATATTTTTGTTGACTGTACACCACCTTGAGTCCTACGGGAGAAAGGCGGTATAGAAATATAATAAATAAATAAATAAATAAATAAATAAATAAATAAATAAATATGGCTGGCTGGGAATTCTGGGAATTGAAGTCCACCCACCTGAAAGCAGGCTGCCTAGGAAATTCCCAGCTATGACCTATATCCTATTGGTCCGTATTTAAGTCAGTATTATTTCAAACTTAGCAGCTATAAATTGGGTGACCTCAACTCCCAGAATTCCCCATCAGCATGGCTGGCTGGCTGGCTGGCTGGCTGGGGAATTCTGGGAGTTTGAAGTCCATTCATTTTGACGTTGCTACAGTTAAGAAATGCTTCCTGCCAAACTCTTGCAAAAGTTAAACCGGCTTAATTCAGCTGCTCCGTTCTCCCGTCCCCCCCACACTCCAAAACAAAACTTTAGTTTATTATTTTAAAGGGGGACACCCCCTCCTGAGTCCCAGGATGTCCCAGAGCGCCCCCCCCCCGGTCCCCTCGCCATCTTTGCCCCAAAGGCCAGGCAAAGGAGAGAAGGAAATGTGCCCTTGTGTGTTTTGGGGAGGGGAGGGGAAGGGAAAGGGAGGGGGGAGGAACAAAGCCGCCAGCTGTTTGCCTTGATCCTGCAGGGATCAAAAAGGGATCTGCCCAGGCAGCAGGCAGGCAGGCAGACAGGGCTTCCCTTGGGTTGATTGCAAGAGACAAGAGGGAAAAAAAAACTTTTTAAAATGGGTTTTCCCAGCAAAGAATATTCAAAAAGAGAGAGGGAGAGGCTCTTGCTTATGGGCCCCCAGGCTGAAAACACAACACAACACACACTAGAGACACACAATCATTTCCGTGCACCGCTGCCTGCATGCCACCTTCATCACAAAAGGGTGAGACCGGCCTGGGATGGCATCGCATCTTCCCTAACGTTGTGTTCCAAAAGTGAATTAAATCACTTTTTAATTCTTGGAGCCTTGGTAGTACAGTGGTCTAAAGCACCCTGTTATTAAGACCAGCTTCCTGCAATTACTGCAAGTCCAAATCCCACCAGGCCAAGGTTACTCAGCCTTCCATCCTTTCTAAGTAGGTAAAATGAGGACCCGGATTGTGGGGGCAATAAGCAGACTTTGTATAAATATTCAAAAGTATGAAGGCTATTGCTTAACGCACTGTAAGCCCCCCTGAGTCTCCGGAGAAGGGCGGCATATAAATCAAAATTTAAAAAAAATTGCAAATCAAAGCAAATTCTGGATGGGCAGCCCTGCAGACCTTTAAAAGTACAGGAAGTCCTCGACTTATACCATTCATGGAGTTTTGGTCGAGTTACAACAGGTGGGGTGACAAAGGGGGCTTTTTCATTTTACACTAGGTCCCCGTCCCAGGTGTCCCCGGGGTGGGGTTGGCAAAATGCGGTGAAGGGTGGTGGGGGCAGGGGGGGGGGGGGGGTGGGCGTGTGGGATAGTGGGGGGTGTGTCACAGGGTGGGTTGGGGGGGGGGGGAGCAGGGACTGTGTGGAATATTCTTGGGGGTTGTTTTTCCCCTCTTGTCTCTTGCAATCAACCCAAGGGAAGCCCTGTCTGCCTGCCGCCTGCCTGCCTGGGCAATCCCTTTTTGATCCCTGCAGGATCAAGGCAAACAGCTGGCGGCTTTGTTCCTCCCCCTCCCTTTCCTTCCCCTCCCCTCCCCTAAAACACACAAGGGCACATTTCCTTCTTCTCCTTTGCCTGGCCTTTGGGCAAAGATGGCGAGGGACCGGGGGGGGGCGCTCTGGGACAATCCTGGGACTCAGGAGGGGTGTCCCCCTTAAAATAATAAACTAAAGTTTTGTTTTGGAGTGTGGGGGGGACGGGAGAACGGAAGCAGCTGAATTAAGCCGGTTTAACTTTTGCAAGAGTTTGGCAGGAAGCATTTCTTAACTGTAGCAACGTCAAAATGAATGGACTTCAACTCCCAATTCCCCACCAGCCAGCCAGCCAGCCAGCCATGCTGACTGGGGAATTCTGGGAGTTGAGGTCCACCAATTTATAGCTGCTAAGTTTGAAAAATACTGA